ATGGTATTGCGGCAGGCGGCACAGGCTTTTACTACGGTAGTACGAGAGTGCTGCCGAAATTTTGCTGCGGCGGCACGGGCTTTTACTACGGTAGTACGAGAGTGCTGCCGAAAATTTGTTGCGGCAGGCCTGTTTTTTTTTTCAGTGGTGGTGCGGAAGCGCTGCCGGGTTTTGCAGCAAGCAAGCCTGGTTTTTCAGTGGTGGTATGGAAACGCTGCCCTTTTTTTTGCGGCGGCAGGCCTGGTTTTTCAGTAGTGGTACGGAAGCGCCACCGGGTTTTCTACGGCGGCGGTTCCGGGTTTTCGGCAGTGGTGCGGTTGCGATGTCGGAATTTTTCGACGGTGACTCCAGTTTAACCAGCCGTGGTGCGGGAGCGCTGCAAAAAAATTACGGCGGCGACGCGGGGTGTCGCGACAAGTGATCCTTCTAAGGAGTGGTGTGGATTGTTTTGCGGGCGACTCATTGTGACGATCGTCTTCTCTGGAGTGTGATTTACACGGTCTTCCTGAGTGGGTTGTTGCTTCAATTTCACTCAAGGTCAGTCAGTCAGTAAGTCAGTCAGTTAAATTGACTCAGTTCCCTTCACACCTGAGTGAACCCACACTTGCTTTGACCTATTTTACTGAATGTTCATTGAAAAGAGAAAGAGAATGTGTGCGTTTGCGTGTATGACCGGGAGTTTGAGAATATAAAAGGATTGCATGGTGGTCTGTGTGTCGTTGGGTTTTGATTGCAGGTACGGCAAATGGACTAAAATGGACAAGGGTGATGACGGTAAAAGAATGGTTGACTTTTCATCTTTGTGCTTATGTTCTATTTATAAATAGAAAAAAAAGAAGACGACGAGAAACAAAGCGAGCATAAGAAAAAGAAATTCAACTTGGTTTAGACTTATTCCTGAGGTTACCCATTCTTTCCCCAATAACCCTCTTCCATCTATGCATGTCAGTCTGAATGATGCTATCTTTCTACGATTCATCTTTCTTCGTCTAAGTTTAATTTTGGCGCTAGGCGGCAAGATTCTACTTGTCTGCCATGTAGGTGTCTTTCCATTTGTCTAGGAGGCATCTGGGGCGGGGGTTCGTTTCCTTAGGGGCCGGCCCTGTTATCGACTCAGAATGGATCGCCTTGCGGGGGGGGTACTATGTCGATTCGGTGGAGACGGCCCGACTTCTGAGATCCGAGTTTTGTACTCGGGCGAGGAGAAGGAGTATCCCAGACCACCTCTTAGCGTAATGGAAAAGGCATCCACACGGAAGAAAATTATTTCTTGACGCCTTGTGAAAAAGGAAAACTGCCTTAGCAATCCTGTTTAAGTGGTCACCCTAGGTACCACTAACGTATGGAGAGTTGGCGCCACAAGCAGCCCGACTCATGTTTCACTAGCTGAACGGAGTACCTTTAGATACTCCTAACGAGGTTGGTCGTGCCATAAGAAGCACGGGCCAGAAGGAAGACAAATGTTTTAGTGATACTTAGTTTTAACTTAATCACATTTCTCTTCTTTTTCTTTCAGATGGCTATGGGAACAACGAAACTATTCCTTTTCAACAATTGTTATGCGGCAGCGGAGAGAGTTGAACTCCAAATGCGTGATTGAGTGAGGGTAGAAAGGGTAGGCAGACTTATTTATAATCCGTCAGAAATATATTCTGAAGAGGACGTTCCGCTATTTTGGGGTGGTAATGTGCAAAGACCCCCCAGACGACTTATTTTCAGGAGTGATAACGGCCTGGATATTCTTCATTACGAGTTCGCATCGTCGTTGCCTGAGCGTCACTTCGTCAATATGAACCTGGTGGTGTTGCAGCCCCATGAGATCAACCCACGAGTGGATGAAATCCCTGAAATAAGGTTGATGTTCGTCCGTTACGTGCTTTGGTTGAACAAGCGGCAAGACCCATTTTTTTAGCATATACTACGAGGAGCGGATACGTGCCAATAGGTACGCAATTATAGGGGCTGAAGCATTATATGACGATGAATTGGAAAATGAAGCGGAAGAACTTGAGGAGTTTTTACGTAACTGATTTGAATTCGTTCTGATACGCAAATGCCTAGAGCACGACGAGACTTGACGATCCCGAGGTGTCTGCTGGTTCGTGATACACACGAGGAGGATCTCATCAGGAGTGCGGCACGACTTTTACGAATACGGGATGGATCTCCCATCGACTGGTTCGGCTTCATCAGGCTGCTTCAAAATGGCGAGGGAGTTTTCCCTACTACTCGCACAGATTTCCGAGTCAACACGGCTCGGACTCCCGACGAGCTTTATGGATATACTTTGTATTTCCACCGCACGAGCAACCTCCAATGTCTCTCTCGAGTCATTGCGAGTATTACGATTACCTCGTTCGGCAGGCGTCTTGGCATCGTCCGGATCCGGGACACAGAGACTCGACACCTATTTGGACTTAGTCGATCTCTCCGAGTTATAGTTTGGAGGTTAGCCTCTCGGATGACCTCCTTCTATAATACTCGAATCATTAGAGTCATGCGATGTGGACGAATGTCTATTTTGATTTTCGACGACGACGAGCTGACACGTTTGGATTTATTGGAGGCACAGGTGCGCGGCGGACGACAGGTCTACCAGGACTAGACATCATCTTCTGAAATCATACTCAGATTTTCAGAAAACACTTCGCATGGACTCAGTCCCGTTGAGAAAATCATATAACTTATGGTTTCACGAGGTAATCTAAAAACAAAAACAAAACACTTTATGTAGTTAGGACCGCCGGATGGATAGTATTCGGATTACCCCGATGATTTCACTATCATGCTTTATGCATTCAGGGGTAATCGTTCGCGTAAAAATAAGCTGGATAAAGTGAAAAGCAAACGTCTGAAACTGTTGTCAAGCAGAGCAGTGGAAGATGAAACACTTCTGCATTGCGTAACTTGGATAGATACTCCATCATTCACGAAAACAGAAAGAGTAATTATTATCCAGGAGGACAAAGCGACTAACAAAAAGTTGTCACTCACTCCTCCAAGTAGTTACATATGGCACTAAGGTATGGTTGAACCGAAAGTTCAAACATCGACTAGGAACCAGATCACTTGTTGATCTGCATGGTTCCGGTGATAGTTATTTACAAAAGCTATTCATGACAAGTTTCAGTAGTCATGATAAGCAAATCATTCTTAGTTTATTTCTTTAAATTAATAATCTTGGAACGACAATATAAAAGTTCTTTCAGTCATACAGGTTAAAAAATAGACACTTTGGCAGACCAGCTCATCAAGTCAACGATTTGGATTGTGTGATTTTGTTTTTAAGTATGGGGATTTTTGTTGTTTGATTGCTAGGGACTAAGGATCGTTTTCACGTTTGGTTGAGAATGTCCWAGTCGACYGGCGTACACTTCGTACTTGGGAGATCAGCGCCCMGGGGAACGAACGACGCACKGGTTYATTCGGCGTTTAGTCAAACAATTCCTATACTGCAGCGAGACGAGCAAACGCCCTCGGCTGATCTACCTCTGCGATTGCACATAAAAGCCTTCGCACGTGGATCAGTAGCTCGGTAGGGATACGCCCCTAAGGGTGGTGACAGCCCCTTAGGGGTGCAAGCTTATGCCCCGCGGGAACCTGTCCTGTCGCAGGGAACCGTGGGATGTATAGCTGGCGCACCCGGTTAGAGCGGCGAAGGAGCGAAGCAACCGCGTCCGTCTCGACGGTTCACGGAACAGTATGCGTCGTTCCCGAGTTATCTCTGAAAGATGCGTTTTAGGTAAACTCCTCCGTGACATGGTCGGGAGGGCCCTCGTTTTCACGCGAGGGCCGATGCGCGCGACAGGGGGGGCCGTTGCCGGGGATAACAGCAGACTACCATTGTCCCTAGCGGAACGACACTTGGGTGATTAATAGAGTAAAAAGTTATTTTCTTTTTCTTGTTTGACCTCAGAAAAAGTCAGTAATTTGATCCCAAAATTATGAAATATTATTGACTGATTTATGTTAATATGTTGTTGTTTTTCTTCACTCAAGATGGCTGGTAACAACGACAATCAGGGCGAGAGGAGAAATGACATTCGGGAGCTTACCAGGATTATTCAGCAGTCCCAGAAGGATCAAAACCCGAAGGTTGAAGTTCCATTGTTCGATGGAAACAACGCCTCGGGATGAGCAGAAAAAGTTCGAGCAATTGGGAAGTCGCTGCGAATGATCGAATGAAAAGATGCTGCGAATGGTGAAGAGATACTGCAAGATCCAGTACAAGGAAGAGGTGGAAGAGTTAGTGCAAGATTCACTGGACTGGCCAAAATTTAAAAGGAAGCTGCTAGACAAGTACCAGTTGAGTGATCAACTGTTGGACTTGACAGATTTGAGGAGGGTTAGTCGGAAAAGCTTTGGTACAACAAAGCAGCTCCTTACTGAATTCGAGCGGGTTGCAAGGTTAATTCATGACCTTCCAGACAAAGATCGTTGCCTCATCTTCCTAGATAATTTCACTGAAGTGGAGCAGCTAAAATTGGTAAAAGGAATGAAAGAGCGATATGATTGGCCAAAAATTCGAGAGAATTTATTGGCCCGGAACTTTGATCAGATCCTCTAGCAATTGTTGAAACAGCAGAAGGAGAATCGAGAGAGGATACAGTTGGAAACAGATAAGGACAGAGAAGTCTATAAAACCTTATCTGACATGAAGGAAATGATGACCAGCATGAAAGAAAAGCGGTTGAAGCTTCAAGTGATGATGGCTAAGGCGAAAACAAGGAAGAGAAAAGGGAAGGAGCCTGTCATGAAGAGAGTAGTAGTGAGAGTGAAAGCGAGGAGGAAAAGGGACCCCCTCGTAAATTGACCAAGGCTGAGAGGAAAGCCTTGAACCAGATACGAGGAGGGCAAGGTACTTCTCGTAAACAAGGAAAAAGCAGCAAGAACGGAGGAAATGGAAGCGGGGAGCGACACGTTGATCAAGGACAACAAAAACAGACTCAACCACAGGGTGGTCGAGGCCGTGGTAGGAGCCGCGGAAACGGAGGCGGACGTGGGAACTGGCAGGAATATGTCTGCAAATATTGTGATATGAAGGGACATGTTATTCGTTTCTGCCAAATTCTCGCCAAGGACGAGAAAGACCATGTCGTCTTCACAACGATTCGAGGAGAAGTCTTTGATTACGAGGGAAACCTCATCGATCAGGATATTGAAGGAGGAATGAGAAAGGAGGCTTTTCGACGGATGGGCCGTCCTCTTCCGGCCACGTTCCGCCGAGCTTCTCCTGAAGAAGCAAGTCTTTTTGAGTTAGAAAAAACAATGGCTTCTCTGGAGATTGGTGGGTGTGACGAAAAAGAGTTGAAGGAAAGGAAAGAAGACATCGCTCATCGGGCGCGAGAAGTAACCAGGAAACTGGGCAAATGTCGAGATTCCATTATTCAATTATGTGTTGACATTGATAGAGTCTGGCCGAACCTTCCTAATGTGTTCCTTTTTGGTGGATGGGGGAACGAAGGTCAGGATGGGTCTGCACCTGCGGCCACTTCGGCGCAGGAAGCAAAGCCAATGGCACTGCCAATGACGATGTCCAGACCTGTACTCAAGCGAGGGATGCCAACCGTCATGGTGCAGACGAGAAAAGGAAGGAAGACCTCACAATTGCAGCCTGCGTCAGGAGAAAGTTCAAAGGAACCTCAGGAAAAAGAACCTATTCAGATAGAAGAAGGGGATGATGATGAGGAGGATGAAAGATTGCGAGCAGAGGATGAACTGCTAGCAAAGCAAAGAGCTATGGAAAGGGCGTCGGAAGCAGGGAAGACCCAGGTCGAGGAAGAAGAACCTCGCAAAAAGAAGAACGTGTACTCAATTCCTGTTGAACAAGGGATTGATTTTGAACAGCTGGTGGATCGTATTCTGGAAAGTCGGCGTGATCTGGTTACCTTGAAGGAAATTCTTGCAGTATCGTCAAAGCTTCGCGAGGAATTCAAGCAACGCATGACTCGGAAGAAAATCATGACAGTTAAGCTGAGTGAGATTATCCCTCCAGAAACTAACTGAGCACCTCCTGGCACAAAGATGGACTGGCGATGCGTGGCCACAGACCTCATAAAGGTTCAAATCGGCCGTGAAAAGTTATCGACTCTCATAGACGATGGGGCCAAAATGAACATCATGAGGGAGAGGCATGCGATTGAAGCTGGAATTCATATTAATCGCAATGACTTTGAATTTTTGATTGGAGTCAGCGGGGCAACACCATTTTGCGGTACGGCTAGTGGTGTAATGGTCGCAGTTGGGAAGGTAAAAGCGAGGTCATGTTTTTATATATTGCCAAAGGTTGAGCACGACGTGCTTTTGGGAAGATCTTTTCAATATCGCACAGAGAGCATAATCTTCAACAAGCATGACGGCACCATGTTTGTAGCTTTATGCGATCCGGTTTGCGGCTATTATGAAGTGGTAAAGTGCGCAAATACCGGACCGGCAAATTCAAGGAACCGGTTAAATCCCGAATCATATACCTTTTTAGAATCTGAGAAGTTGAGGAGGGAGAAAAAGGCTATCGATCAAGAAAAGGATCCTCAGGAATTTTCGTTGACATTGCCTAGTATCTCGCAGGCAGTCGATTTTGCAGCAAGCCATCCTACAATTGATCCGAGCCTGGTACAGGCCCTGATGGAGGCTGTGGTTGACAAGGAAGGTGCAGGAACCATGCATCTTGTTTATCAGCCAAATGAATCTCGTATGGAGGAATCACTGTCATCAGTCATGCAAGAGTCTTTTTTAGGGGACGAAAGTTCAGCGTTGGCTTCAAGAGGAAGTATAAGAAAGTAGGGGAGAAAGCGCGACCAGTGCCAGTTCTGATCATTCAGGAGAAGGAAGTGTATTACAAGAAAGAACGCGAGTGAATCAGAACATTGGAGGAGAAAGGTGAGAGGGGACCGTGTCGGTTGACAGAAGACAGGATCAAAGAGATGATCATTGGAGAGGATAACCTCCTCACCAAGGAGGAAACCCAATTCTTTATCGACGTTATGAGGAAAAATCATCTGGCTTATGCTTTTGATGATGATGAGCGTGGAAGGTTGGACGTCAATATGATTCCAATGATCCGGATTCATACGGTACTGCATGAGCCATGGAATGTCAGAGGTCCACGATATCCGAATCCAGACGATCACCGGAAGGTGGTGGATTATCTTGATGGTAAGATTCGGACCAAAGTGGCAGACTATTCGTATGGGCCGTATGCATCCCCTTGGTTCTGCTTCATCAAGCCGAACGGTGTTTTACGATGGGTTCAGGACCTACAGAAGTTGAATTCTGTAACAGTCCAAGATGCATGTGGACTTCCGAACGCCGACCAACTCTCGGAATCTTGTGCAGGCTGACCCATCATCACCTTAATTGATTTGTATTCACGGTACGATCAATTCCCGCTGTACACAACAGATCGACCTATGACGGCGATGCACACGCCTCGGGGACTGCTTCATATGTGCGCGGCTCCACAGGGTTGGACGAATGCCGTGGCAATTGTTCAAAGATATATGATGAGAGTCATGCAGCCGCTTTGTCCAGACGTGACTTCTCCATATATTGATGATTTGGCTATCCCACAATCGGGCCAAAAACCCTGATAAGGGTATTTGTCGGTGTTTTTGAACGTCGGGCGTTATCCGACTCTTGTGTTGAATTAAAGAACTTGGTGAGACTGACGTTTGCCAAAACGTTTATTCAGACCTGACCTATAACTAAGAAACTAAGAGTTTTCAAACTTTAGTCCGGATGCATGTGACGTCCGAAGGTATCGGGTGTGAATGACAAAGGCTACGTTTTTGTCGAAGCCGCAGGAACGTGCGGGAAAAGGAATGCTAAAATTAAATCCATCTTACCTATAATAATGTCGCGCGGATGTTAAGCCGCGCGATTCAGGGCCTAAGTAGGCTAAAAAGAGGGTTGCGCCAGGGTATAGGGCCGCGACGCAGGAGGTGCAGGACGTTTTTGTTTTCTCTAGGGCCGCGAGGTCTGACTTCGAACCTGGGGACCAATAGGCAAATGCCAAGGCTTACCCTGTTCGATGGCCGACCAAGCCGCGGTCACGCGGCAAACCGGTATGGGTAAGCCACGGACAGGAATGCCGGCAGGGCACAAGCAGGGCAGCCCTGCTAAGCCGCAGTCGGGGCAGGCCTGCTAGGCCACACACAGGCAGAGCCTGCAGAGCCGCAGGCAGGGATGTTATCTGGGCTAAGCTCTTCATATTGAAGAGCAGCTCCTGTTTAGTGTGAAACAGGAGCTAGCCCAGTAGGATAACGCACTCAACTGTCACCTTGCAAACCTAGGGATCGAGCTTGACCGCGCATGCCCAACTGGGATAGCTCCTTTTTGGAGCAACTCGCAATTACTGAAGGCGCGGTTCATCTCGACCGTGCGATCGAAGAGATCACGCGACCGATATAGGCCGCGCGAGATTAGCATGACCCCTGCGTAAGGATGACACGCATAAATCGAGAAATAGTCGAATTTTTTTTTCTGATCCCATCAGGGATCGAACTCGGGTCTGCATTTTAACAGTTCGTGGGTGAAGCCCACGAAAGCATCACAACCGTTGGCATAAGCCAACGGGAAATGTTAAAAAAAAAAAATTAAAAAAATAAATAAATAAATAAATAAATTAAAAGAACTATACGTTGTGACAGGTGACACCTACAGAAGTGGCAGGGGACTTAGTATCCCCAAAGGAATAACAGGCACCCGTTGAAAACGGGCAGCCTCTTTTTAGGTAGGTTTTTCATTTTTGATTTTTGCTTACATTTTTTTTTAGATTTTTTCTTTTTAAATTTGGTTAGATTTTTTTTGTTTCCTTTC